TTGGCTTGGACACAAGAAGACCCATTTTCACAAATACATTTATTTGGCAAGTCACCGAGCCTCAGTTTGCTCACAACTAAAACATGCGTCAGAATCACAATACACCTGCTTCCCAGGGTGCTTGTGAGCGCCAAAGGCGATCCTGTCAGTACGCACGCACCAAGATTCAGGGCGAGGAAGTGTCCGTTACTGCTAGTGGCACCTGGGGGCCCTAGGACGTGGGTCCTGAACCTCAGTTTCCCCATCAGTCGTAATCATGACTGACATTTTTATCCCAAAGCGATATAGACCTGGTCTCCTTTGAGCTATACCCACCAGTCCTATGAGGTGTGGGGATACCCATTTTACAGAGGATGAAATTGAGGCTCAGAGACACGAGGGCACTTGCCCACAGCTACACAGCTAGTGAGTGGCAGAGGTGGGTCTTACACCCACCTCTCTCCTGTTCAAATCCCTTTACAGCCCATGGCCAGATGAGGGGCTCCAGGGTCCCCAGGGAGGAGGAGAAGGAGGAAGAGAAGGGGGGGAGGGTCTAGTATGTGCCACCTCACGGTCCAGCTGAGTCAGCAAGTAGCCTGGCATGGCCGGCTTAAGTAGTTCACGTGCCAAGCGATGAGACCAGCAAATACAGACGGCTCTTAGACTGTCCACGCTCCTTCGCTAGGCCAAGGTGGAGGTGGGTGGAGGAGCCAGAGACAATGAAGGACGAGGACACTTAGGGGTTTCCTTTCTTTTAAGGGTAGCATCCGACGGAGCCCTCCCCGGTCTGCCCCCCGGCTTGTAAGCCCGGCAGGGCTCTAACACTGGTAAGTGGTTCAGAATTTTCATTTTTGTTCAGTTTTCACAAAAGGCAAAATATAGGCAAAACACCTTCAAGTGAGCATCTAGTGAGCACCTACTGTGTGCCAGGCACTGCGCTGAGGAAACAAAGGCAAAGGGAAATGGCCCTCTCGGAGCTTACAGTCAGTGCTTCCCGTAGAGGGAAGGATGCCGCTCGCACAAGGACGCCTTCACAGAGGCTCTGAGCAGAGGTGGCCAAGCCTAGATCACCAGAGAGGACCTGGCAGCCCTGGGCAGCCACGTGCTCACCACAGCCCTCCTTTGCTGTCATTACTATGCGTCCATCCAGACAAGCTTGACCTGCCTCAACCGTTCCCCTGGGCAGACGCAGCTGCCGTGGCCACCGGGGCCCTGCTCTGAGCTGTGTGTGCCGGGCCCCAGGTCCCTGGCAGACCCTCAGACTGAGGATGGCTTGGCTTTTCCACTGAAGAAGAGGAGGACAGGACAAGACATCCTCAGTGCCTGTCGTCCCACTGTCCAAGAGTGAATGATCTGTGTAATGGGTATCACATTGCTTGCCTTCTCACCGGATGGAGGAGGGGCCGGAGGGAGGCAGAGAACTGGGACCTTCCGAGCTCCTGTTGGTCTGCTGAGCCCCGGTCAGTCCCACTGTCACTGGACCCCAACGTGGTGATGTCCGGAGTCAGGGACAACAGCCAGGGTTCTTTCCTCTGGGCCCATTTCTCAGGGCTATTTCCGTCCCAAAGAAATGCGCTCTGTGGGCTTTTTCCAGCCCCGCACCTGCATTCCTGGGTTCCCCTTCGCTTTGTCTCCTGCGGCTCTTCAGCTGCTGTTTCATATGAAATCAGTCGATGAGCAGCTCTGAGCCGGGCCATGAAGGACCCAGGCAAAATGGAACCGGCCCTGCCTGCCCTGGAGAAGCCTTCCTTCAGCTGGCTCAGACACTCAATCAGTCAGCAAACATTTATTCTTTTATTCAAACTAACATTTTTCTCATTTTCTTCTTTAAATTACATTATATTTTATTTTCACATGAACATTTACCTTTTCTCCCACCCGCCTCCTGTCTTCCTCATTGAGAAAACAAGAAAAAATAACCCATTGTTACGAACATATATAGTCAAACAAAACTAATTCCCGCATTGGCCATGTCCGGAAAAAAATAGAAAGCTTCAGTCTGCATTTCTGCAGGCAGGTAGTGTGTTTCCTCAAGAGTCCTCTGGAATTGTGGTCAGAATTCCTAAATCGTTCAAAGTCGTCCGTCTTTACCATGTTGTTATCATATCCGTTGACCTCCTGGTTCTGTTCATTTCAGTCTGTAGCAGTTCATGCGCGTCTTCTGAGGCTTCTCTGAAACCTTCTTCATCCTTTCTTACAGTACCCCATGGCATTCGTACGCCATAAGTTGTCAGCCATTCCCCAATTCTTTGCCACTACAAAGAGGTGCTATAAATATGTTTATGTGTAGGCATCCTTGTCCTCTTTCTTAGATCTCTTTGGGGTACAGCTCTCCTAACAGATTTGCTGGGTGAAAAGGGTATTTGCACAGTCAAATAGCTTTCTGGGCATCTTTCCAAATTGCTTTCCCAAATGGCTAAGCCAGCGTGCAGCTCCACCAGCAATGCATTGGTGCACCCATTTTCCCACTGCTTGTCTAGCATTTATCATTCTTCATTTCTGTCAACTTTTCCAATCTGATACATTTGAGCTGAAACCTGAGAGTCATTTTATTTTTCATTTCTCTACTTATAGTGATTTGAAGCATTTTTTCATATGATTCAAATTTCTTCCTCTGGAAACTGCTCTTAACAGGCATTTATTATGAGAGTGCTTCCTACTGTGAATACAATATAATAATAATAACTAACATCTATACAGCACCTACTGTGTGCCATGCGCATGCTAAGCACTTTACAGTTTTCATCTCCTTCGATCCTCACAACAGCTCTGGGAGGTAGGGGCTATTATGACCTCTAGTTTGTTCAGTCCTTTCAGTCTTGTCCAACTCTCCATGATTCATTAGGGTTTTCTTAGCAGAGACACTGGAGTGGTTTTGCCCTTTCCTTTTCCAGGTCATTTAACAGATAAAGAAACTGAAGTAAATAGGGTTAAGTGACTTGCCCAGGGTCACCCAGCTAGTAAATGTCTGAGGTCAGATTTGAACTCAGGTCTTCTTGACTCCCGGCCCGGTGCCGCACCTACTGCACCACTCAGCTGCCTCAGCATAGGAAAACGAAACAGTCTTTGCTGTCAAAGTGCTCCCACTCTACTGGGTCAG